TCCAGCCTCCAGAACAAGCCGGTTTACGAAAAGGCTTTAGCACCATAGACCACATACATACCCTTCGGCAAATTGTACAAAAGTCAGAGTAGTACAATACGCCACTATGTTTGGCGTATGTGGACTATGAGAAAGCCTTTGATTCCGTCAAAATTTGGGCGGTGCTGCAGTCCCTTCAGCGGTGCCAAGTGGACTGTCGGTATATCGAAGTGCTGAAGTGCTTGTACAGTAGGGCTACGATGGCCATCCGAGTACAGAACTAGAGTACGAAGCCTATCCAATTGCAAAGAGGTGTAAGACAGGGTGACGTCATATCCCCGAAACTCTTCACCGCTGCATTGGAAGACGTTTTCAAGCTTCTGGACTGGAAAGGATACGGTATCAACATCAATAGCGAGTACATCACTCACCTTCGATTTGCCGAGGATATAGTCCTTATGGCAGAATCGCTGGAGGACCTAAGCACTATGCTCAATGACCTCAATAGTGTTTCCCAACGGATAGGTCTTAAGATGAACATGGAAAAAACAAAGATCATGTTTAATGTCCATGTCACACCTATACCGGTAGTTGTTGGGAACACTAAGCTCGAAGTTGTTGACGAGTATGTTTACCTGGGACAAATAGTCCGACTAGGTAAGTCCAACTTCGACTGAGAGGTCAATCGACGGATTCAACTTTCAACTCGGTTGGGCAGCGTTCGGGAAATTACGGCACACCTTCTCGTCAGGTATACCTCAAAATTTGAAAACGAGACTGTACAACCAGTGCGTGTTGCCAGTGATGACATACGGAACTGAGACGTGGTCCTTCACTGCTGGCCGGATGAGGAAGTTCAAGGTCGCACAGCGAGCTATATAGAGGGCTATGCTCGGAGTTTCTCTCTTTTTTTTTATAGGATAAGGGTGACAAACGAGCACACAGTCCGCCGCGTGGCTCTACCACTGTTAGAAATATATTCTATTCTATTCTCTGCGTGATACACTCAGAAATGAGGATATCCGCAGTAGAACCAAAGTAACGGACATAGCCCAACGGATTAGTAATCTGAAGTGGCAATGGGCCAGCCATATAGCTCGAAGAACCGTCAACCGATGGGGAAGAAAGGTTCTCGAGTGGCAGCCTCGTACCGGCAGGCGAAGTGTTGGGCGTCCCCCCACTAGATGGAGTGACGACCTGGTAAGATATGCAGGAAGTCGATGGATGCAGGTGGCTCAGGACCGTGCTTTGTGGCATTCCTTGGGGGAGGCCTATGTTCAGCAGTGGACTTGTGAAGGGCTGTAATGATGAATGATGATGAAATAATATACTTTTAAAGTCAGGAATACAATTTATTCTTTCCGTTAAAATTAAATGAAACGTGCACTTTTGGATTTTCCAAACTATTTTTAATTTAACTCATTTTAAGTGGCTTGCAGCAACCATATTCAGGACATTTAACGTCCCGTGCATTCCTTACAAAATGAAAAGTAAACTTTACATAGCTTAAAAGCTACAAAATCTTTTATGCCATTTGGAGCTATTTATTATAGTATAATCTGTAATATAAAAATGAATCGCTGAAGGTGTTGCTAAGCGCAATTCTCGAGAGCAGCTGAACCGATTTCGCTAATTCTTTTTTTTATTATATTTCTTGAAGTACGAAGATGGTTCTTACGGAGAGAAAAATTTAAAAAATTGCCTGAAAAAGTCTAAAAACAACACTTTTCTATATTCCTATACAAAAGATTCGTAATAATACTTAAAAGTCAATTTGAACTTTAATACCATACCATAAAGTTTAAGAGTTAGTGGAGGGGTTCCGGGAAGGCAAAACAATTCAGTGACGTTAGTATACGTAATACTAATGTCAATATTCGTCAATTAGAATAAGTAAAAATAAAATGAAATATAATAAGTAGGTATCATAATAAGAAATCAGAGATTGTAAATTTCATTGTGATTTTTTAGTGACTATTAAAAGAATTTTAAGTGTTTTATAAATTTTTTTTTCACATAATGAAATTGTTGACTTACCAACTTTATACTTTTTTTATCTTACTAGCCGACCCGGTGTCCCGAATAGCAGAATAAGTATTAAAAAAATTAGAGAATCGACTGTTAGGCAGTACGAAGTTCGCCGGGTCAGCTAGTATATAATAATTATTTCTCGCAAAAAATCAAATTTCGACATAACGATGATGTGTTAATTTCGTAGGCAAACCTTTAAGTCAAGCTTTTTCATGGAATCGCACTGTTTCCCGCTCTGCATAATATAGACCAATGTCTTTTGTAGATGTGTTTATAAAACACTTCGTATTATGTAACAAAACACTCAATATTTGGGGTTGCTTGCTAGCTCGCTTGTCATCCTTATACTATAAACAAAAAACTAAAATAAAAAAAACAGATTGTTATCAAAATGGATCACCAGAAAAAAAAACGTATTTAGCACGCCGTACTGTGTTTTGGATACACATAACTTTCTATATTGCATCTCCCTTTATCACTTAAGCGTACTATTTGGTAGAAACTAATGTCCTTTCTTCACATACTCCCCGTGTACACGGTAAAAGGAATCTTTTAGTGATTAGTACTACTTGCATTGAAATGATTCACGATAAATTGAAAAAGACGGACTTAATTCTTAATACAGTGTAAAGATAATTTGTTATCAGAAAGAAGCCGCTTCCCATCTTCTGATTTAGTTTATTTCTGTCGCTTCTTACGATACTCTCAGGATGACATGGGGTCGTGGATATTCTTGCGCCACCACTATACTTCAATAAATGTTTATAATTAATTTTTATGTTTCGTGTTTTTTTTAGCATGTTGAACAGAATCAGATTCGAAACAACATTCCATTCCATTGTTATACTATTTAAATTTCCTTATCTTTTCGAGCGATTTGCAATTTGCAATTTGAAATTGATTTAGTTTATTGAGTAAAAGCAATTTTGCGGATATTGTCGCGTATAATTTCACTTATTTTTAATTCCTGACGTTCGGGTGCTTTAAATGACCCATGGTCAAGAATAATATCGGTAAGGAGAATTTGGAGGTCATACGTCAAGACTTTTCGTCCATATTAAGTTGAAGTTCAGTGCCGAAACCAAATCTCACTTAAGACGAATATAAAGCGTTGAACAACTTACGAAACAGACTGGAATTCGCGATTCTTCGCGCAGATAAAGAAATGTTACGGTTATAATATACACGTCTGAATACAATTTTAAAATGCAACAGCTTTAATCGGACGAAAATACATACAAAAAGGTCAAAACATACCCTACAACTTATACACTTAAAACAACTAGCGTTCTAATAAAAAAAAAAATCGATAATATCATTACGTGCCGAACCCCTGAGTTTGTATAGGTTACCGAAAATAAACAAACCAAACGCTCGAATACGTCCAACAATGAGTGAAATCGATTCATCAATTTATAACTTGGTTCAACATTTCGTACAAATACTGTCACCACTGAGAGGTCACACTAGGGCGTGTGCCTTGGACAAAGGACAAAGGAATCATACCGTTTTATCAGTGAGATAAAAGACGTACATTTCGCTCATAATGAAATTATGGACGGTTTTGACGTTCAGTCACTATTAAAATGCCTACCTATTGAAGACTGCATCTCAGTCATAACTAGGAAGCTAGAAGAAAACAACATACCTGCATGAAGACTATGCAATATTACTCAAGTACTGCCTCAGATATGGCTATTATGGAAGGAAGAGTTCTACAAGTAGATAGTATAACGATGGGCTCGCCTGAATCTCCGATAGGATATTATTGAAGGAATTTAAGGAGGAAGAAAAGAGTAATATTCCTTTACTAAATAATTTTGGTTGTGAATGTGGTTTCTCTTACAGGGAATGAAAACAAATATCGATAAAAAACCGCATTAAATACACGTGATACACCAACACTGCATAAGTGTGCAGCCTGTAAGAATATTCTGTGCGAACGTGGTCCTCGTTCGGTCGAGCTAATCCAGAATTCATAATATAGCTGCAGAATGGGCCTGCCTCATAAAATCAATTTATCTATGTATCTATTCAGATCCGTAAGAAGAAAAGTTTTAATTTTGAATCGAAGAACAACTCTCATTCTCTGACCATCCCACTCCCACAATCTGAATAAAATAATTCTGGCTGCCAATCTGCTTGCCAAGAGTTTTTTATAGAATTCGGGTGACAAAAGAGCACACATTCCACGTCATGATAAGTAGATACTATGGTCCATAGGCATCTACGTTTATAGATAGATAGATAGATAATTCTTTATTGTACACCAAATCAATACATAAACGAAAGAAAAAGAAAAAAATAAATAGTGACACAATGGGCAGTCTTATCGCTAAAAGCGATAAAAAGCGATTTATCCCAGACAACCTTTGGATGGACAGGATTACAAAAAGCAGAAAATCGTGTGGTTTGGTGACGCAGAAAAAATATTTATAAAGATTTCATTATAATATATAGAAATAAATAACAAATAAAGACATAAAAAACGAATGTTTACATATATAGATGGCACGAATTCAAAGGTAGATGAAAGATAGCAATTGTGTACAAGCTTCTGAAAAACAGATAAAGATTGGGCGCGTCTCACTAACAAAGGTAGGGCATTGCATAGACGGACTGCTTGGATAGTAAACGACCTGTCCAAAAATTTATCTTTGATTAAGAATCAAAATACAGATGCAATGTCACCCCTGAGGATTAAAATGGAATGCCTCGTTTCCAGTAAAAGGGTCTCCGGTCCTCTACACCAGGGGTTCCCAATTTTTTTTTGCCAAGGAACCCTAATTGATTATACTTTTCCTAGCGGAACCCTACCTTGATAAATGGAAATTTGCCTACCTTGAAAAAGGTATAAATGAAAAACAATTAAGTTTTTATGAAATTATTTTTGTACATTTACTGTGAATATGTAGGTAGGTACATAAAGTAATAAAACGTACAAAAAATTTCATTCGTCACATTAAATTCATAAAAACACGTTTGTGAATTTAATGTGACGAATGAAATTTTTTTACATATTTTCTTAAAATAGCATTAAAATTAGGCTTAATGTCCGACAGTTGAACGCGAAGATCTGGAGCTGCATCCAGTCTATTTCTGTACTTGCTTTTGGTGTAAGCATATGCGGAAAAACCAGTCTCGCATCGGTAAGTCGTCACAAACGGTAACAGTAATGTGATGGCTCTATTAACAATTTCTGGGTATTCATCTTTGAGTCCAATCCAAAAGGCGTTTAAATCAAAAGTTCCTTCTTCATACTTTTGTTTTAGCGTTGATGAAAATTTGATGTCAATCAAATTCTCATACTCTGACACCGACAGCATCGAAGGTTTGGTGTGATTTACAAACGGATTCTGCACCCAGTCCATGTCCTGCAACTGCTCCGGAAAATACTCATGCAAAGATTTTGTAAGGCTTGTCAAATGCTCATGTATATTCTTTTCCACGTCTGAAGATACCCGCAGCTCATTTTCTTTTAGAAAGTCATTTAATATTGTGAAACATTCGTAATTATGTTTTTCAACACATTCAATCCAGAACGCAAGCTTGTTTTTCAGTGAAGACATTTTATCATTTACTGTAAATTTTGTTGTAGCTCGTCCCTGTAATGCCTTGCAGATTACGTTGAGCTTATCGAATATATCAGCTAAATAAGCCAATTGCATCAACCATTGCTCATCATGCAGCAGTTCAACAAGCTTATTAACGTGTGCAGAAACTGGTTGTTTGGTAAAGAATATCTTAAGCTCGTCGTGCAATTCAAACAGCCTTAATAGAACTCTTCCTCTTGAAAGCCATCTTACTTCCGTGTGAAGAAGAAGTGATTGATGCTGACTTCCTATATCCTCACACACTTTTTTAAAAAGCCTCGACTGGAGTGGACGTGATTTAACGTAGTTTACAATTAGTACTGCTTGGTCGAGAACTGTCTTGAGCTCGTATTGCATTTTTTTTGCGACAAGGGCATGGCGATGTAAAACGCAGTGACTGCTACTACATTTAGGTGCAACCTCCTTGATTCTTGTTACAGTGCCTTTTATTTTGCCAACCATAGCTGCCGCTCCATCACTACACACGTCAATACATTTGTTCCAATCAATATGGTGCTTAGTCATGTAACTATCGATAACTTTAAAAATTTCTTCTCCGTTTGTGTTGGTTTCTAAAGGAGTACAAAGAAACAAATCCTCTTCAATAGATCCTCCAAAGGGATATCTCACAAAAACAAGCAGTATTGATAACCCGACGACATCTGTACTTTCGTCCAGTTGCATTGCAAACATCTCGCTGGTCTTCAATCTACTAATTAATTCATCTTGAATATGGTCAGAAATCTTATGAATTCGATCAGAAATGACGTTATTTGAACACTGCACTGCTGACACTTTCTTTGCTGCTTCTTCTCCAAGTACACAAGTGACAATTTCTGTCATACATGGTTTTATTAAATCCTCTGCAATCGTGTGTGGTTTACCAGCACGAGCGATTTTGTAACTTAGCAGAAATGATGCCTATGTTGCATTTTCATTATCGGTCTTTACAAATTTTTGTATAGCAGCTGCACCAGTTCTACGCACTTCTTTGTGTCTTTCAAAAAAGCTGACGCTTTTATCTTTCAGTTCTGGGTGGTTCGTGTCAAGATGTCGTTTAAGCTTTGCAGGTACCAGTGAGCTATTACTTATTATTTTGTTGCAAATCACACATTGTCCATCCGAGTTCTCAGTCATTCCCACAGGAACAAATCCAAAGGACAAGTAGGATTCGTCGTATCTTCTCTTTTTTGAAGAAGTTTTCTCCTGGGTTGCAACTCTTTTGGTGATTGTATGTTGTATATTCAGTCCGGCACTAGGGTCTTGTGTATTTAGCAAACCCTGAAAAGAATTGACAAACAATGATAACCACCATAGCCATACGTATAATCGACAATAAATAAAATTAGTAAATTTAGTAAATAACTTGTATCACAGTAAATTACCCAAATAATTGTAAAAAAAACTTATGCATAACTTTCTTACCGACGATCCAGGAACATTTTCTAAAATATTTTCAATACACACTGCTGGTGGCTCTGAATTTAATGAAGAATCCAAAATCCTTTTGCACTTGTGAGGCGCCCCGTTTTGAGCCAACTTTCCATTTTGAACTACCTACAATAAAAATAACACGTGAATATATCTCTCGTATTTTATTTCGAAAATGTGTCTACAAATAAACAAAAACAATGTGACTTACCAGTAAAAAAATTCCAGATCAATAGGTACCCAACAACAGGTATTTTTTCACTGCAGCTATTCACTAATTCAATAATTGAAATACGTGTGCTCTTATCGCGATCTAGACCGGTATAATCAGCCCCGCCGCGCCGTCGCGTCGCTGCAACACGGGCGCGCGGGGCGTGGGGGGCTGTGCGCGCCAGTGTCTCCATATACACGGTAATTACCGGTTTTTTAAAATTTTATTAGTAATTAATTAAAAGCAAACATATTTGGACTTGGTTTGGTTCATAATGTTGTATTTTTCTTAGAAAAGTTACACGGTAATTTACACGGTAAAGTTTTAGTAAATCCACCGTAATTTTATCAAGAAACACGGTATTTTTACCCTGCCCCTATCTCGTGCGTAAACAAGTCGGTGCGCGCGAGCGAACAACGTTGGTCACGAAACGTGTGATAATATTTTTTACGGAACCCTTGCGGCCTTTCCACGGAACCCCAGGGTTCCGCGGACCACCTTTCGGGAACCGCTGCTCTACACTCACCGTACGAAACACAGCATTATTAGGCTGTTGTTTTGCGCTGATATTATGTGAGAGCATGGTCCTACCCCGGTTAAGCCGACCGATTTGTGCTACTACCATAATATAGCTGCAACATAGCTCAACCACATATATAAATATACCTAGTATATAATATGACAAATATTTCCCCTTCGGAGGCAGTCTATGGGAGAGACCTGTTAATCAGTTTAAATTTGATTGGTTGTTATAGAAATGGTAAGTAAAGGTGCTCATGATCAAATCAAAACAAAGCGAGACTTTTGTAATTGTCTCACGTATAATGAGCGCATCATAGCCAGTGCGCTATATTACAAAACGTCTGGGCTGCAACTTGTTTAGATTATTTGGAATCGTTAATTTTATTCTGTGCGTGTTTTGAAAGAATCCTATCGCGAGAGGTCATCTTGAAGCCACAATAAAAACAAAGGCACTGTAGTGCTATGCTACTAAACAATAGGTAGTTAATTGGAACAGCTTTTTGAAATTGTTTATATTTTTGTCTCGGGTTGAAAATAAATATGTTTGACGGGAGAATTCCCGCGATTATATACGAACTAAAATGGTGGTGTTTTGGCGGGAACTTTTCGGATGGCTTATTGGTGCTCCTATATATTTGTGCAAGTAATGGCTTGAAGTTGATTTTGATACGTAAAAGTGGTGTAATTTTGTATATTTAATGTCTGGGAATGTGAAATATTAGTGGACAATGAAACAATTGCTGATGATTTTTGCTTTTTCGTCCTTGTACTATTGTCATTGATGATCTGTTGGCTCAAGCTGTCGTTAAAAATCTTCCAATCTACTTAAACTTCACAATGTCAACATTGTCAAGAAGTTTTGAAATACAGACCACCGGTGGATCTTCAGTACACCGGTGGCCCATGTTGCTCTATGATAATTACTTAATATACTTGACACTGGCAAAAGTTACGACAGTACGAGTCCATTACTATATAAAAAGAAAAACTAAATCTTATATATAGAATTTAACAACATATATAAAATTTCGCTAAGACTGTGGTTAAGGGACTTCTTTAGCTAGAAATATTATTTACAAGCTATTTTTTAAATCAGAAACTATCAATAAATCATATTTTATAAGACAGCATAGGTTTTAAGTGTGCAAATACGAAAATTGTCTAATACAAAACCGTTCTTTTATGTATTTTAAATGACATGTTCTTCTTATAAAATAATCATGAACATTTACTCCTTTACATAGGCTTCCATCGAAGGTTTCCACAAACCACGGATCCTGCACCCATCGATCAGTTCCCTGCATGTTTAGCAGGTTGTCACTCCATCTGCTTCAGGGTCGCCCAACACTGCGATTGGGAGTACAATCCTGTTACTCTGGGATTTTTTTCCTTATCGTTTGTCAGTTTTTGAGCTCTATGACTGATCCAATATCTTTAATAAAATCATCATCAATGAAAATATGCCTCTTCCAAGGTATGCCACAAACACGGTCCTGATTATCTGATCTATCGACTTTTTATAAGATATGCATCTTACCGGGTCGTCACTCATCGTGCAAGGTTGTAATAACAATAAAAATTAATTTTTTAATTTAAAAACGTAAATATAACGCCATAAAATCCGTATGGATTATTATTTTTAAATAAGTCACTTAGGAACGGTTATTAAAGAGACACTCCTTCTGATAGTAAGTTTCCGTTGCAAGCTACATGCAACAAACTTCAAAGAAATAACGCTACAGATGCATTATCAACTTTGTCGTGATCTCTGTGGACGACCAAAACAAATTACCTCGTGATCTGTAATTATGCTGGCTATCCATGCCCTTCAGATCGTGTTCAGTATAATAAATTGGAACTTGCAAACTCTCAGTCTGGAGTACATTAGATATTGGATAATTGAAATGTGTGGCAAAAGTAACTAGGAGCTGCCAACGTATTGTTGATCTTAGAAGACTTGCTAGCAAGACCGTGGGTAATTTATTGTCGTTTTTGTCTAATCTAATTCTAATTTGTGACTGCGGCAACTGATCGTTTTGGTGATTTAGATTCCCATTGTGAACTATATCACTACTTATTAAAATAATCCCAAACCACCATAGACCGGAACACAGAGGAAGTAGATATCTATTAGTTGTATACCTGAAAAGAAAAAATATATATTGATGGATATTTCTTCATAAGCATATTCTATCGCATCTATCACGGGGAGTGCTCAGAGGAATTTTTCTGACTAATTCCAGCCACTGAATTTCACCACCGATAGCCAGAAAACTCACGAATCCATCCATATCATCTGGATGATTGGCGGTCCACCACAGCGATTTACAAGAAGTTTTCTTCCTCGCACAACTTCGTTGTGGAATCAACTATCACCATCCAGATTTTGATTATGATACGACTTAGGGACCTTCAACCTAACTCGTTTGCCTCCTCTTATATATTTAGAAAAAAAAAACTTAAGCAAGGGTCCCTGCTTGATAATTTTATTGGAACCATTTTTGTTAAACGTTTGACAGTCAACTTAATGATCACGTTACCTGACATTTCGCATTTTGGCGCAATTTTCCGCTGTCAGCTATTGTATTCTCTATATAGTACATAATATGGCGTAGTCATACCGCTATCTATCGGAAGTCATGAGAGTTTAAATTCTTATAGACAAGACATCTAGCGGAAGGTCTAATTGTTTCGTTTGGAAATTGTTAGAGAGGGAAAATAAACACGCATATTTATTTTATACGAATCTTCCTTTAGACATACATAGCCAATATAATATAACTACATACTGAAAAATATCGCGCAAATTTAGCATGTTTCTTTCAAACACGAACCAAAAATTATACTTAAACAAACCTCTATCTGTAGCAACACAGAATATTACTAAACGAAAATTACAGAAGTCAATATGTACATACTTTAACTGGATGGAAACCGGTATTTGAATTGCGACATAGGTAGCGTGTGAGGTCACGGTTGCACCAGGTAGTGTGAGCCGTGCCGTGTGCATTGCATATAATTTGTTTCAATTTTATTAATTTTTTTATAATTTTTTTATTTAAAAAGTACACTTACAATACACGTATAAGACATTATAACAAAAACATACACATATACTACTCTCTGATATTATGTATATAATAAGTTTACATAACATTCACAGATTGATTTTTGATGTGGTAGAGCCATACTGCAGCTATATTAGTAATATAGTTGTAGCACGAATGGGTCGGCTCGACCAAGGAAGGACCACGCTCTCACAGAATACCAACGTAAAATAGCAGCCTAACACTGCTGTGTTTCGTATGATGCATGTAGAGAACCGGAGACCCTTTTTACTGGAAAAGTGGCATTCCCGTGCGCGTGCAAGCTATATACGAGCTGTATTGAAGTTCTTTTTTATACCAGAAGCTGTATTTTCTTGCTGTTTAAAAGCTATATAAGTGCTTATACAGTTCTTATAAGTAAAAAATGGGCACAAATTATGCAGCCTTATGCATTAGTAGCGCTATACAGTATAGTACAGTACTGTACAAACATAAAAGACGCTGTATAACTACTGTATTACATCTGTTATTTGGTGTGCAAGGAAACTATTACACTACAGATATTGTCTTATAAGTAACTTATAAAGACAAACGTTCTCAATTGGTTTTTGAATGGGATTACAAATGAATATAAAACAAAAAGAACGTTTATTGAATGATGGCGACATTTAATGTACCTATGTACAAATATTTAACATATTATTATTATATTCGAATTTTAGTTGAGTTTGACGATAATAATTGGAGAATAGAACGTGCCAAATTAGATTTATGGTAAACTTTGTTTTCTAACGAATAATTGCCGGGACAGCAAAATAACAAAATTATATAAGGATAAAATACTAAATACGGTAAGTAAATATCGGTTGTATAGGTTAGAATAAAAAAAATTAATGGATATGGTGGCACATTTGAGCACAGTGATCATACCTCACTGAAATAATGGTATAGGCTAAGACTAATGTCTAATATTAGGTCCTTACATATGAAATTAGCGTTTTGTCGTACTGACCACTTTGATCTGAAATATTATCTCCTCTTTGCTTAAGAATTCCAAATTCAAATAAATTTATAAATTCATTTAGCTGGTAAATTTGAGTTTTGAAAACAGTCATTCATTTGCTTTTTCCTCATTATTTTTTTCTTTGGCGTCGCTTATTACCGCACAATGAAAACATGAAATATCGGTATATTTACGACTAAGAGTTCTACTGTGGCACCAGTACTGCTGAAAAAGATCGAAGGATTAATGATGTGTACGGCGCTGGTGTCGCAAAAGAAAACACGGTACGTTTTTGGTTTCATCGTTTTCGTTCTGGAAATTTCGACCTTCAGAACCAACTCCGTGGACGGCCGGAGACCAAAGTGGAAAATGAAGAATTAAAGGCTATTGTGGAAGCGGATCCATCACAAAGCACTTTAGAGATAGCTGCAGGCTTCGGAGTATGTGATAAAACTATATTAATCCACTTGAAGCAAATCGGGAAAGTAAAAAAAACTTGAAAGATGGGTACCTCATGAATTAAGTAAATCGAACTTGCAAACACGCATCGACTGCTGTGTTACTTTGCTCAACCGATACAATAATGAAAGGATTTCAAATCGAATCATTACTTGTGATGAAAAGTGGATACTGTACAATAATCTGAAGCGCTCGTCGCATTGGCTGAACCCTGGAGACCTAGCCAAATCCTGCCCTAAACGAAAATTGACTCAGAAAAGTCACTTGTGAGTATTTGGTAGACTAGCGCCGGTGTCGTTCACTGCAGCTTTCTAAAATCTGGCCAAACGATTACGAAAGATATCTATTGTCAGCAACTGCAAACCATGAAAGAAGAACTAGCTTCTAAACAACCGAGATTGGTCAATCGCTCTAGGCCACTGCTGCTTCACGACAACGCAAGACCACGCACTGCACAACAAACAAGCACTAAGTTAGATGAGCTACAATTGGAATGTCTGCGTCATTCATCGTAGTCCCCGGACCTTGCTTCAACATATTACATATTACAACATATTACAACTTCTTACAAGGAAAAAAAATTAACTACAATGCGGCAGTCCAAACCGCCTTCAAAGAGTTTATTGATTTTCGCCCCCATGGTTTTTTTTAGTAAAGGGATCAATGAACTACCCATGACATGGCAAAAGTACATAGATAACAACGGTGCATACTTTGATTATTTAAATATATTTTGCAAAAAAAATGACTTTATATTCCTCCCCTACAAAATGCCAATTTCATATCATCATCATCATCATCATTACAGCCCTTCACAAGTCCACTGCTGAACATAGGCCTCCCCCAAAGAATGCCACAAAGCACGGTCCTGAGCCACCTGCATCCATCGACTTCCTGCATGTCTTACCAGGTCGTCACTCCATCTCGTGGGGGGACGCCCTACACTTCGCCTACCGGTACGAGGCTGCCACTCGAGAACCTTTCTTCCCCATCGGTTGTCGGTTCTTCGAGCTATATGGCCGGCCCACTGCCACTTCAGCTTACTAATCCGTTGGGCTATGTCGGTTACTCTGGTTCTACTGCGGATATCCTCATTCCTAAGTTTATCACGCAGAGAAACTCCGAGCATAGCCCTCTCCATAGCTCGCTGAGCGACCTTGAGCTTCCTCATACGGCCAGCAGTGAAGGACCACGTCTCAGTTCCATAAGTCATCACTGGCAACACGCACTGGTTGTACAATTTCGTTTTCAGGTTTTGAGGTATGTCTGACGAGAAGATGTGCCGTAGCTTCCCGAACGCTGCCCAGCCGAGTTGAATCCGTCGATTGACCTCTCGGTCGAAGTTGGACTTACCTAGTCGGACTATTTGTCCCAGGTAAACATACTCGTCAACAACTTCGAGCTTAGTGCTCCCAACAACTACCGGCATAGGTGTGACATGGACATTGAACATGATCTTTGTTTTATCCATGTTCATCTTAAGACCTATCCGTTGGGAAACACTATCGAGGTCATTGAGCATAGTGCTTAGGTCCTCCAGCGATTCTGCCATAAGGACTATATCGTCGGCAAATCGAAGGTGAGTGATGTACTCGCCATTGATGTTGATACCGTATCCTTTCCAGTCCAGAAGCTTGAAAACGTCTTCCAATGCAGCGGTGAAGAGTTTCGGGGATATGACGTCACCCTGTCTTACACCTCTCTGCAATTGGATAGGTTTCGTACTCTGGTTCTGTACTCGGATAGCCATCGTAGCCCTACTGTACAAGCACTTCAACACTTCGATATACCGACAGTCAACTTGGCACCGCTGAAGGGACTGCAGCACCGCCCAAATTTCGACGGAATCAAAGGCTTTCTCATAGTCCACATACGCCAGACATAGTGGCAAATTGTACTCTTCGGACTTCTGTACAATTTGCCGAAGGGTATGTATGTGGTCTATGGTGCTAAAGCCCTTTCGGAAACCGGCTTGTTCGGGAGGCTGGAAGTCATCAAGTCTGCGCGCGAGACGATTAGTAATGACTCTCGAAAACAGCACGTAGACGCGGCTCAGAAGGGAAATCGGTCTGTAGTTCTTCAAGAGAGCGTTGTCACCTTTCTTGAAGAACAAGACCACCGCACTTCTGCTCCACGCCTCCGGTGTAATGCCACCATGGAGGACGGAATTAAAGAGCTTCTGAAGGACTTCAAGTACCGGTCTTCCACCCGCTTTCAGAAACTCCGCTGTAATTCCATCCTCGCCTGGGGCCTTACCGTTTTTAAGGTGCTGGAGAGCCATTCTAATCTCGCTCAGACTGACGTCCGGGATATCTTCGGAATAGTGTCGGATGAGACACGCTCTTGGATCGTTACTCACACTTGCGTGTGGCTCCAACGATGACGTGTACAGCTGCCCATAGAACCTCTCAATCTCACTCAAAATCTCAGGTGTCCCGGAAACGATGCTGCCACATCCTGTCTTCAGCTTTGACAGGTGGCTCTTTCTGGCAGACAGATCTCTGGCAAAGACTTTGGAGCCTTGGTTCCGCTCGATCGTTTCTTCAATACGAGCTGTATTGAAGTTGCGTAAGTCCCGCCGCATGCATTTGGAGATCTGTCTGTTCAGATGCCTGTATGCTGTCAAGTCTGTTGAAGAATGTAGCTTCATCTCCCGTCTAACAGCCATGAGATTAAGAGTGTGATCGGAGAGTTTTTGTGTTCTTCTGCGGCGGGTCTTGCAGAACTTAGCTCCGACCGCATGGACAGTTTCCACGAGCTTGTCATTCATATCGTCCACTTCATTGCAGTCTTCTAGGCACTGAAAACGGTTTTGTAACTCGAGCTGAAAGGTTTCGGGACTTTGGAACAATTACAATTTCATATGTAAGGACCTAATATTCCCAAATTTATAATTTTAATATTGTTTTATGGGTCTTGAACTGGCGACAATTTGCTTAACATCTTAAACGCTATTTCGAGGTTGTTATTATTATAGTCTTAGTAGCTGTACTGAGTATATTATGAATTATATCATGCAGCTATTGGTTTTTAATCAGTTCTATAGTAGAATATTTTTATTACTTACGCTGTATAGCACTTTTTTAACATAACA